TTGTTTACCAAATTACCATTCAATTCCCTTGCATTGCATTTTTTTCTGGATTTTGATCAATTTTTTACAAATACAGAAATGTGTAGTTTCCTATATCCTTACATTTTTTTCTGGGTTTAACTCCACTTTTTCCAGTAAAAAGTCTGAGAACCAGGTTACTGTATTGTTTGTGCCAGTAGTGCCAGAATTAGCAGCACTTTGCCATATATGCCGTTGCCAGGTTGTGTGTCTGTATTTGAGCCTGAGGACTACTGAACAGCTGCAGGGCTATATATGTAACAACCTCTCAGGACAAGGGACTGTCATCCCAACAATTGCCACAGCGTAGCCAACAGGTCATGTCTCAAAGTCATCGAATCGCTACACGTATTTCCCACCATTAGCAAACGTCTCTCCACATAAAACAATTCTACCGAATTGCACTAAGTGTCATTGATACACATGTACAGAACCCCCTGCCGCTGCACACAGTGTGGTTTGCTACAGTGGTGTTGTAGCCAGTTGTAGCAACTCCCAGTGGGTAGCTACAGTGTAGCGGATCACATGTCAGCCTGCCTGGTGCATGCCTCTCATATTTCATCAGGGTTAAAAGCGGATATCCTGCTGGAGTTTAGACTAGACCCTCTCGGTGCTAACCACAAGTCGGCCATGATCTGCTACTAACATCTGACAGGTAACAAAATCTCCTGTGCCTCGTGTAGCGTTTCTGTCACCAGGCTAATGTAACAAACTCAGTGTCACTCAGACTGGCCATTCTGTAACAAACTCTCCGTCCCATACATGTGGCAGTTTTTACTGGAGTCAAACTTACATGGCTCATGAAGGTTAAAGAACTGGAGGTAACATTTTCATTGCCATCTTGTAACATGTAGCAAAATCTGTCAGCCATCCAAGTGTAACAAACTCTGTCACACGGATTGTTGCCATTCCTGTGACAAAATCTTATACATGTCCATGTGGCAATCTGCCGGGAACCATTTGTAATTGTTATGCCACACCAAGGGTAAAGCATTACATGTAGTTGTGGTAATATTTTTATTACACAGTGACTGAACCACATCAGAAACTTTGAAGTTGTTTGTTTTTACTGCATGAACCTTGAACCAAAATTTGGACACAGATTTCATTGTGTTTAAAATATCTGTGGTTTTATACTTTGTTTACATGTATATTAGATTAGGCCAAGGAGCTTGAGTAGACAGAATACATTCATCATTCTTTGTCAGAGACAAGAACTTACTGTTGTTGATACAATTAGAGTCTACGTGTCCTGGAAATAATGTGAATAGGTTGTTTTGTTATTATCACAAAATTCTTTTAATTTAATTATAATTTAAAAGAAAAGACATATTGTTCAGCTTCAATGATCTTTAATTTGATATTTTCCCGTGATAACTAATGACATAAAGTTTTACTATGACTTATTTTACTTTCTTGAGTGGCCTGATTGAAGTACATGTAAAACTGTTTGATGGTTGAAGGGACATAAGGCCACACCAATTTAATTTCTTGGTTAACGGATTTTTCTACAAAAATAATGGAGCGGGCAGGCGAAAAAAATAAAAAATAAAAACAGGCCTAGGCATCCTATTATGGCCCAAAATGGTACGATAGGAGCCATGAAGTCAACACACCAGGCTGGTTCAAAATTTAAACAATGAATTTTGAACATTTAATGGTAGAACTGCATTGAAAGAGGGAATGACTGTAACAAGTAGTAAGAAAAGAACTGTTTTCAACTGTTCAGGGCAAAATATGAGCATTTTGCAGTTGATTCTGAATTTTTATTTTTATTTGCAAATCAGAAAAAAATGAAGAGGCGAATCCGTTAACCAAGAAATTAAATTGGTGTGGCATAATGAAGCAATGTCAATGCCATGTTTGATAAAGCCTACCCATGGGAGCTAACATAGAACATTGTGCTATGTTTAGCCTGGTGTCCTTCTGAAAAATGACATTTTGATAACTGATAGTTAAAACAATGTGGAGGTGGAGCTATTAGCTTAAGGAGAAGTAAACAATTAGCATCAGTCAGTTTAGTTCTGAGGAAGACTGCAGAAGGAAATTTTATGCACGAAATTTTTCTGTATCAATTTTCAACATATCTGGCTATGTATTAATCGCTATTTGCAGATTTCAGGTATGAACTTGGCTCAGATTTAGGAAATTTCTTGTTTCAAGTATATAATGATATAGGTAAATCTGCTACCAAATTTCAGATAGTATGAAACCTTGGTGCGTACAAGTTTGATCACACAGCTTCCCTCCCCCAGCCTGGCATATCTGCAGTTGCCTTACCTTTAACAGCCATCAGCTCGATCTTACATACTACTCCAGGCCAAGAATTTTATCTGACTTGTTCACCAAATATAACACTGGAATCTCCCCTATCCTACAAGCTGTCAATCCACTGAGACTTTCAATTGATTAAGTAATTAAATGATTAATTTTAAGATTAAAATTTG